ATCTTGGTGAATATTTAGGATCATTTTTTTCGGAAAGAAAATTTATTATTCTGCGAACAAAAAATTATCCTAGATTTTTCATTTGCATCTTGAGAGAATTATTCTCTCTTTCTTACGGCGAGAACTAATCGTCGGAATTAATGATGGAAGATAAATGCAATCCTAATAATCAGTAATAACGCAGTTTCGGTTACAAATTGCTCGCGCGTGAAAATCCATGACACCGGGATCGACACGGGAACGGCGCTAGTGCGCGTACCGTTATGTGGAAATGCTCGCGGCGATGTTAATAAGATATATTGGAGTCACAACTAAAACGTGAAAGATTGGATAACTCCATCGAAAGAGAGAGAGAGAGAGAGAGAGAGAGAGAGAGAGAGAGAGGAGGGAGGAAGAAGAGAGAGACGTCACTACTTGATGCTCGAACGGACGCATAATGGCATCCTTCAAACTCGCTGTGCCAGGCCCATCCGGCTCATCAGGTTTTTTTTTCTAATGAAATTTTTTTCTCTAGTCTTCAAACGTCATCGTCGTGATGTGATTCTAGAATGTGCCTGATAGTCCGTTATCGATAATAAACAACCGGCGTTGTTGTAGAGCGTCTATGAGCGTTTTACGGAGTTATAAATTTGAGGGTCCTCGCTCGAGACAACAAATATCTGTTAACTCAGTTAAGTTTTGACATCTTGACAAAATAGCTGAATATCGCGGAAGAGTATTACGAAGTATAATTCCGTTAATATAATATTTTATTGTCTACATTAATTCAATGCTGCTACTAACAGTCGAGATCTTGGTTAACAGTCGAGATTCGGTTAATGAGAGAGTTATTTTCAATGAAAACTTCTTACCGAGATATTTATCTTACAAAGAGCAGTTTGTTATGAGAAATATAATATGTACAAATATGAATTCCCTTATTATTTTATATATTTGTTTAATCAAATTGAATAAATAACATCGATATTTAGAACTCGGAAGAATAAAACTATGCAAATTGCGTGGAAATTTTTTCTCGTTAATGATTAGCGGGAATGGCCGGCTACATTTATGGATGTAATTTATGATGACATAACATTAATTATTCCGACGACGCTGTAAAAATCAATCGCAAGAGATGTGCATTTTGCGAAATTCTTTCATAAAATTCTCGTTGGATAATTGTTAAACACAATGGGGAATACAATTCTCATTTGCATTTACTCATTACGTCGTTTCTCTTAATAACTTACCTTAGCTGACTCCATCGTTCATCGAGAGCTTTCTTACAAAGATAAATTGTATAAGTTATTATCTAAAGGATGATTTATCATCATTCGATAATGTATTATTGTAAAAATTGTTTTATTGCCATCTCCAGCTTGCATTCTTTTGCGTAACATAATCAAGCTGTCAACACAGCATATCTGAATTTCATGTACGATGACTTCGAGATAACCATGTGTATTTAAATAATAAGATGTGTAACATATCGAATATCGTGTGACAGTTTACATGTATGTTATAAAGCTTTGAATATTTCATCGTCGTATAAAGTATTTGACGTGTTATAAAATAAATATAAATCGAAAATTTTTACATTTCATAATACTTTCATTTCAAATTAACTCGCATCTCAGATTTCGATAAATAAATTATTATCGTATGTTATATTTGACATTTATAAATAAAAATGATTTGTTATGTGTAATGATATATAAAAGAAAAGAAAAGAGAAATATAATAACAGATACGAGTCTCTTTATTATTTTATATATTTGGTATATTTTTGTTTAATTAACTTATCAAATCGAATAAATAATATCGATAATTGAGATTTGGAAGAGTAAAACTGTTCAAATCGTGTGGAAATTTTTTCTCGTTATTGTAATTAAAAATAAGTAATTAATTTATTATTATTACTTTTATTATTATTATTATTACTTTTTACTACATACGCATACAAATGTTCACGTTTCAAAAAAAAATTAAATTCCGTGACTTTAATAAATAAAAAAGAAAGATTAAATTATTGTAGAAATACTGTGTTTAATTTTTTCTTTGTTCATCAGTCAATATCAGCTGATTCCTGAGCATATATGTTTTGATGTAAGAAACCAAAGGATAAAATTCAATCAAGCAGCTAAGAAATGTTTTTCTCAGATTCTCTTATCTCCAAATTTCTGTTTAAACGTATAAAATATTGTCTAAAATTCAAATATTTCAAACATGGGCCTTTATACTTACATAATAAATCATGACTTGATTTGAAGGGTTAAGGGATAGCTTTTGCAAAAAGCTCGAGCTTAGCTTAGATTTTCCGACTGTATATATTTTTTTAATTTCTCCGAGATTTCTACGTCTTACCCTTTGACAGTGGTCAGTCTGTAAACGGTGTCGAAGATGTCATTGCGTATCGAGCGGACGTCCTCGTCCTTCCTGTCTATCAGCTCGCGGAAATGCAGCGTCCTCGCGTTCGAAAAGTCCGGCTTCTCGTCGTGCGTTATCTCCATTTTTAAGCGGGCCGCGAAAAAAAAACGCGGAAATCGACTTTTCACGCACGACACTCACCGACACTTCCAGCAACCGCGACCGCGCGACGAGCTTTTCGTATTAATGCACCTCGTGCGAACAGAACAGCAACGGAGGAGTAAACTTCTCTCGTGTATGGCACGAGTTTCTATTGTTTCGAGGACACGCGTTGCATGAAGGATGGCACATTCGTAGGACGTATGTGAGATACACAGATACAGAAAACAAGAGATAAATAATATTCCTCGTGTTCCAACTGCAGGATATCCTCTATACAAATTGAATAACGATTGTGTGTTAATAATAATAATAGATCCGATGGCGCCGATTCTCTCCCGATTTTAACAACTTGTTTCTTATTTTCTTATTTTTTTCTCTTTCTCTTTCTGTTTTTAATTTTCGTTTCGCATCTTTTTCCACGAATCCGTAAAAATTAATCTAAATTCAGTTCGTCAATTGTAAGATTTATTTTCGAAAAAGTGGATTATGTGGTCAATTGCAATTGATATTGAAAAAGATCTGTAAATATTTTAGGGAATTGTAAAGGTAGAAAGACTTTTGCAATTATGCTTCATGTAATAGTGATTGATGAAAAAGACATTTTGTATTTCACGCTTCTTATTATTCGCTCTTGTTATTAGCGACACATTTTCGATGTAGAAAGCTGTTAGTTAGCGTATTTAAAACATGTTTTACATGATACTTTCACAAAATGCCGGTTAATATGTGCGCATACTGATGCTATTGTTATGTATATATATATGTGCTTTTTGCGAGACTAGTTGAATATCTTACTAGCACGAATGATTAAAAGAATAAATAAAACATAATGAATAAGAAAAATGAAACTCTACTTGAAATATTTTAAATAATATATTTTTATTACAAACAATTTCTATTATAAATTTATTACTATTTATGTGACTCTTATATTGCAAACAATGTTTTAATATGACGATTTGCAATAAATTTATGAAAAATTTATATAATGCTAATATAAAGATATTTTTTTCACTTTTGCTAACAATTCTAGAGAAAGATGATGACCTGAACAATTCTAGAGAAAGATGATGACGTGAAAATATTTGATTTGTTGTTTGTTTGTTCCTTTATTTATCATTTGTTTATTCACATGAGTATTATCTGACGGTTCAACGACAATATTATTATAAGTGAACTCATTTGAAAATTCTTATTGTTTAATAGTTTCTTCCCATATCTTTCACACGACAACGTTGGTTTAATGATACTTTAAGGGAAAGTTAGAAAATATCGCGAGATAATGACGCGGCCTGATATAATAATTTCTCTTCTTGACAGTCACACGTTTCTTTTTTCATGTTTCTCAAGAGACATCCTGCTTAATCAAGTTGCGATTGGTTACAGTAGATCCTAATTGTTCAATCACGCTTATATTACAATTGACGAAGTTGCTGTGATCAATTGCATCGATGAATTCTAGCCAGAAATAAAAGGCAGAGTCAATTCGATATCGATTGCACTGTCGTAAAAATTAATAGATGATTCAATTTAAAACGAGATGAAATTTCGACCAATTATCGGCAAGTCAATTTGATTTTTGACGTAAATTTCGTGTCGATTAATATTTTCGCAATACGCTGTAGGCAATTTTTCTTATTTTTGTATTTTTATTATTATTTGTGTATTTTTATTATTATTTGTGTTTTACAAAAATATCGACAGTGTTCAACATCGGGCATTAATCGACGCATTGACGTCGATTCGACCAATCATTTCTGGCTGGGAAGCGGTACCCATCCTGGTCTCACGTTCATTGTTTCTCATTGAAAGGCGACAAATGTGCATGCAAATGACTTTAACGTGGATTTTTTTTCTAATCAGGTATTCCGATGTTATCGCTTCGCGTTTGACCTTAATTATCCCTCCAAGCGACACCTGGTTTATTGTTGTGCAGGACGCATCTATGTTCAATGTCTATATCCTACGTATTGCAAAGTTATTAAGGTGTGTAATTTAACTGATTACGAAATAGCAGACCTGTTCAATTTGTCAGTCTTCTGTCGCGTCATATTTATGTTCCGCTGGTAGACTATGAGCTTAATTCGAATGCAGTCAATGCAATTTTGTTGCAATATACTAACTAAATTTATTATCAAGTTACTAGATTGCTAAGTTTAATTTATTGAGAAATTACGAACACTTTTGCAGACATTATTTTTTAATAATTATTTTTCTCAAAATTCACGCAAAATGCAACTTCTTTGATGTAACATCTAAAACAAAACACTCAAATGAATAAATTTAATATGTAAAATTTTTATCTGTTAAATCTAAATGTAAAAAAATTAGAATATCAGAAATATTAACACATTTTTTTTTAAGAAAATACATAAAAATAATAAAAAAATCTTCGTATCGACTGATTTGAAGGTTTATAAACGTTTTACTATTCTATCACCTGATCGCGCCACTAAGCACTCTTGCTGCACGTGGAGCATGAGATTGTCATATGTCACGTGACTTATGGACTTGCGCAGGGAAGGCTAAGTCAGAAAATTAAATAGGGATGAGAGAGAAGCTTGCAATCGAATAAAAGCGTTTTAATATTTTTCTATCGACAGTGAATAACATCGAGACGTAATTAAAATTAGTCAACATGGCTAATCCTAATCTCACAGATATGACAGAGGAAGATGCGGCGGATCTGCAGTTTCCAAAAGGTATATATGTTTCTTAATTATTAAACGTTAACTAGAAACGCCTTGTCTAACCTCACTTTTGTGATGTTTGTTGAGAATAAAAGATAACCGCTTCAAAGCTACACAAGCTTCAAATTATCATAGTTTATAAAAATGCAACTTTAAGGAATTATCTTAAGTTACCTTAACTTTATGTGTAAATGACAAATATAGTAACTTGTTGTTATGTAGTAGCAATGTAAATAATGCATTAATGTTGTTTTTAAGGCACGAATTAAACAATAAGGTTTAAACATGTACAGTTTTAAACTATTTTGCTTGTTGCATTAACGCAGTCTTAAAATACCTGCACATTCGAGCAGCCAAGGACTAAGGTAATAATTTTCCTCTTTCAGACTATTTATTGAGTTCCACAGACAATTCTGAGCATGATATAGAGTTCGAGATGTCAGTCCAGAAGGATAAAATTGTTGCCTCAGATCCGATATGCTGCGTGTGCAGGTCTATCCTCGTAGAACCATATATTCATTGCGCCGTGTGCACCAACATCGAAATATGTTCCTCTTGTTTCGCCAAGGGCTGCGAGATCGACGAACACAGGAATGATCATGACTACATGATTATAAAAAATGAGTTTCCTTTGGTCGACGGCAGTGGTTGGACTGCTAAGCAAGAGCTCAAATTGCTGACTCTTCTGCAGCAATGTGGCTTTGGAAATTGGTTGGACATAGGATGTAGGATGCATGGGAAGTCTGCTGATGAGTGCAGGATACATTATTTACAGAATTATATAGACAATCAAACTCTGCCGGATCTACCGAGGATTGAAGAGAACAGAGTCAGCTTATTTAATTGCGAATCGATTCCTTATATTTACAAATTGCAAGATCTAGAGGAACCTCCCAGATTTGATCCAGATACGTTTAATGGTCGACTACTAGCAGGTTATAACGCGGCTAGATCCGATTTCGTAGTGAACTTCGACAATCATGCGGAATCGTTAGTGTGCAATCTTGATTTCGATGAGTTTCAACCGGGCGATGATATGTACGAGTTAGGGAAAGCTTTGCAGGTGGCGTTAGTGCAGGCGTACAATAACAGATTAAAGGAGCGCATGAGAAGACAGAGAATTATACGCAAGCACGGATTAATCACATTTCGCAAGGTCATGTCGTGTATACAGAGATATGAGAACACGATAACCAAGCCGCTTGCGGAAAGATTGCTGATATTCATGCAACTCCTGAACGGAATGGAATTTGACTTTTTCATGGAGGGTCTTCACCGTGTTGGCGAACTGAAAAATCACATCAATAGGTTGCTGGAGTTCAGGCGAAACGGACTTAAACACTTTTTCAGTGTACCCATGTTTCAAAAACTGAGTAAATTAAGACAGGAAAATGAGCGAGAGAAAAAGCAGTACATGAACAATTCAGAATATTGTTGGAGAAATCTATTACCTGATAATGTTATCAGCTGTAATAGTCCAATTCTTGGAAGCACGCAACGTAAAATCGCGCCCCCTCTCGTAATCAAGGGTTTACCGGGATATGATAAGCTGGACATCGACGAGAGAGAGCTCTGCTCTCTTGTGAGAATCGTGCCGTCTAATTATTTAGATTTCAAACACATTTTGATAATGGAAAATAAGAAGAAAGGTCATCTTAAATTAGCCCAAGCTCGTATTCTTTTAAAAATTGACGTAAACAAAACGAGGAAGATATATGATTTCTTGATAGAAAAAGGATATATAAAAAAGTCAACTCACTGATATTTAATTTTGTAAAACGCGCACGCGATTGACCAGTGATATTTAATTTTTTAAAACAGCGGTGCCAAAGTGTAGTGCGCGAGTACTGTAAAATTATGAATTACACCATATTAAATAAAATTATCCGGAAAACATAATTATAATACACACACGAACAATTTCTAAAAATTAAAATTTCTGTGTTTAGAAAAATTTATGAAGATTGCGAGTTAGAAGAGTCCTGTTATCTTTAAGTTACTTTTGTTGAGACTTTCGTTATTGATTAAATGATTAAGACAATAAATTTTTTCGCAGAATTTGAAAATGCCGAAACTTTATTGATATCAGAAGTATACATGCTTCTTGAGCACAGAAAAGCTCAAAACGAATCGGCGGAAGAAGAACAGGAATTTTCAGAAGTTTTCATGAAAAGTTTAACATATACTAATCGATTCGGAAAATTGAAAAATAAAGAGACAATTGCAGCCGTTAGAAGGTAGATTATTAGATTGTTATATAAATTATTTTTAAATGTATAATAAATATAAAATAACATTCTAATATATTTTATCGCAATAAAATATAATAATATATTTCTGAATAAGCTGCATATGATGCGAAATGTATTTTTTTATGCTGTTACAGTTTGTTGATGCAAAAGAAGTTACATAAATTCGAAATTGCCTCGCTAGCCAATTTGTGTCCTGAAACGCCGGAAGAAGCGAAAGCTCTCATCCCGAGTCTCGAAGGACGCCTAGAAGATGAAGAACTCAGAACGATATTGGATGACATACAAACAAAAAGATCATTACAGTACTGAAATAAATTTTACATATCTTATATTTATTTTCCCTTGTAATTTCTTCCTATAAATACACGATCCTATAAATACACGATGTCATAGTTCTAATACGAAGTAAAATCTCATTTTAATGTGGAGTTTGCTCCCACGAAAATATGTTATATTAATTTATTCATATATCGCTGTAGGCACTGACAAGATTTCATTAAATGTTATTTTAGCAAGTTCTACCAATATTCATTATAATTAAATTCTATTAAATTCTATTCTATTAAAATCCTGCAATTATTAGATACTTGCATTGTAATTATATTAATTAAAGTGTAATTGTCGATTTGCACCATAATAATTTAAGACTTAAAATTTTGTGAATTAATATAGTTCAAAAAGATTTGTCATATATTCAATATATAATTCTACTATAAGATCGAAAAGTAAGATATTCTTCGAAATCTTTTCATATTAATTCAGTGAAATTTTTCACACGAAAAGAATTTCTCTTGATAATTGGTTCGATAAAATAAATTTACTGAACCAATGTATAATAAAAATAATTCCATTTACTTTATCGCAAGTTTAGAAATACTGCTAGAAACTCGCTTGCAAGCAGAGAACTCGTATTCAGTTACCCAATTCCGGCAATTTGTGATAGGACGAGACTACTCGCGAAAACAAGACGGCGCTAATCGCGTCGACGACAACCGTGTATTACCAACGAGCTAATTATGGTTGACTTGGCATGAGATAGTGGCTCTCATTATCATCCTGTAGAACTTCTTGGATAACCAGCGGCACGAGGTAAACCGCTGGCTACTTGTTGTTCTCTTTAGCAAAGCTAAGAATTCGCGATAAGGATCGATGATGTCGTTCCACCTATCATTTACCGTGAATCCTAATAGCTAGTCTTCGCAGTACATTTTGCATTAAAACACGTTAGTCTTCTTGTTCATTTCTCTCATCGGTCTTTTTCTCCTGGCTGTTTTTGTGAGAGAAACATTCCCGTGTTCATACATATTTAGGAAATTTTATTAGGAAATAAAATATATACATTATTTGTTGTCATTTAAATATACTACAGATATATAGCAGACAACAAAGAGATCTGCGTCATCGGCTTCGTTCTTTTTCTTGTCACGTTAACACGCGCCATCTCTTCGACATTTAAGTCTCACTCGATAAAGGAGTTACAATCGGAGATAACATAAATGAAATTATACACTTGAATATGTTACATTCCTTATTTTAATATTAAAGTCAAAAGTAAGGAACAATTGAATGTGACATTATAAATAATTATCCATTATTGACAAAGACTAAAGACTACACTTCATGAATATGAATGAGTAAAATTCATTGAATTACTCATTATATGTGAAACAACAATTTCAACTAAAGACGAAGGCGAAAAATAAAAATATTTTCAAAAATGGAAATAAAAATGACTATCTTTGCTAAAAATTCCGATTTAAGAAAATTATTCTTAAATACAATTCGAATAATTAATTCTTGCTGTTGATTTTCATCTTACTTTGACCTATTTTTATGTAATTACAAAAAGACAGGAACAACATAACACGAGGACGTCTCATTTTATATTTTATAGCTTCTGTTAAATGATTCTTTTTTATCGAGATATACAAATCATTCGTTCTCGTTTCCGTGCACGTTTTTCAAGTTAAGTAAAAGTGCATAAGATATCTCGTGAAAAGTGCTTACATACCGAACATAATGACTCTCGCATTAGTGGCAAGAAAAACGGCGCCGGTTCGTTGGCGACACATAGTAATAGGCAACAGCACCGCTCCCACGAAGAAGTCTCTTAAGATAATTATGACGACCCTTAATCGTCTGCAAACTCGGAGAATATGCGCCGAGAATATGCGTCGTTTTATGCGCACGGCTAGTAGTTCGATAGCGAAGTCGAAACGATCGGAGAAATGCTATCTAAATGACGGGAATCGATGAATCGATCGTACTGAAATAGCGTCGTTTACGTTCACGGCGGGTACGTTATAGAGAAATAAGAAATTGATATACGATATGATATATATAAATATCACAGAAAGATTTTCATTTAGTAGTTTTTTCGAAGAAATAGATTATTTAAACCTCGCCTTTGTAACAACTATTATTTTTTATTATGTTTCAAGCACGAAACATGCGTGTCCAGGGATTTTTTTCGAGGGATGAAGGATTTTATCAATTCTGTTAATACATAAACAGCAATTTTTTTGTGTTAATAAATTGACTTTTTGAATATTTTAGAACTTAAAATATCTCCTCATTCATGATTTTAAATGAGAAGAATATTAAATTTTGTAAACTTTATTTTAACTTTCTTTTAAATTTCGATTTTTTAAAAATCGTCTTGTATATCGTCTTGTATTTTTTCTAAAGTCGCTATAACATTGCGTAAAATTTACGTAAAAAATTACAAAAAATTAAAATTTTAATACAAGTGTGTTCTCAATTTTTAGATCAAATCTGGAATATTCTTTTATTTACACAATTCGATTCGCAAATAAATTGCAAATTAATTATATTCTAGAGTTGTGTCTACGAAATGTCGTAATACAATAGTTGGACGGAAGATTATTATTTTTCTAATGACGTTATTTTCGCGAAATTACGCGTGGTAAATACAAGTTACAGAGCAAGCACGCTCTAGAGATCGGAATAGAGCTACTGAAACGTGCAACAAGTTTATATTCGCGCGATGAGTCTGGCGGCCAATCGATGGAATCAATTTGCATAATGTATACACGCGAACGCGTATGCTCGACAATACCTCGATGTAGTGGAGTTGCCTTTATATGATGATAGGGGAATATCATTGATGTTCGCTAACGTCAATAAAACAGCGCCGAGGCGACAAGAAGCTTATAAGAAGAAAAAAATCTGACTGTGTTTTAAATATGCAAGACGCGATTAACGCGTGATTAACGTACGTATCGATCGACGATCAAAGATTCCTTCTCGAGTAATAAAATATTGCGTTTGGTATTAAATCAATTTGAAACGGAGAATCAGATCTCTGAATAAGATCTCAGAGTCGTATTATACGCCGAAGTGACTTACGATTCTGTGTGTATTTGTAAAACAATTCAGTGTTTCAAACTTTAACGAGTCCAGGCTTTAAGCGAGTTTACACAGTTTCTCGAAGTACTGAACGATTGCCAAACTAATGATGCTGCAGGATACGGTTCTGTTGCTTTAATGTATATTTAAATGAAGTGGAAACTGATTTAAACTGTCGCGCTTTACGTCCGAGACTGATAACGACGGTTAATAACGCACGGTTAATGTATCATGTATACGAGTCATGTAACGATATATCGTGTGTAACGATGTACGTTGTTACAATGATGTATTGTATTTCGCGTGGATATTTTTCCCCCCAAGTTACGCACTCCGATTTTTCAAGAAAATGAACAATGAGAATTAATTCCGTTCATACGAATCATTTAAAAAAAAGGTGCAGTGACAAAACAAAAGTTAAAGCTTTAATTAAAAGTAATATTCAGATTCGAGATCTTTGTCAAGATGCATAAGAATATTTTCGAATATTTTTTTTATTAATTAACAAGTTTATTATTGAAGTTTATTATTAAAGAATTATTGAGAATTATTATGAATAACCTTCAATTTATAATATAATAAATCTTGTTCTCGTGTAAAATCAGTTCTGTAGAATTAATTTCTTTAATATGTTGGAAAATTTTATTTATTAATATGTTGGAATATTTTATTAATTATTATGATTTCCATTCATTAATGAAATGCGCAAAGAATTCTATAACATGTAAAGAAGAGTATTAATTTTGTAAAACAAGCTTAATTAAATTTTAGAATTAAAATTTTTTTTAAGCGAAACAAAAATATACATTACATATACGTATTTATAAAAAATTTAATATCGTTTAAATTATTATTATATTTATTATTTTAGAATTTATTTTAGAATTAGAATTTATTATTAAATTAGAATATAGATTTTTAATGGATTAACTAATTTTCTAATTATTATATTCATTATATATATTGTATTTCACCAAGATTATTATGATTTATAAAATGCAATAAAATTTTTAAGGAATTTTTAAGGAAATTTGTCGATTATATATAAATTTATACTGTTATATAAATTATTGTTATGCATTCCGAATAAATGTAAAGAGTGATGTCCTTGGTAGACAGTAAGGGGCGAATCGGAGCAGGTCAGCGCGGAGGAGCGTGGCGGATCGACCTGCACGGTGCACGGTTAGTGATCGAGTGAGCACGCGGGCATTGTTGACCGGGCGACGCATCGGTTCGGTCGCGATCGTCTGCGCGGCCGAAGGTGACCGAGCGCGACCGAAGGCGGCCGAGCGCCAGTGCAGCGGAGCGCTTTGGCAGAAACGTATTCAGTATATGTTAAGCAGGCGCGCGCGATACGAGTTGTCACGTCCACTTTTCGCGAGCGCGTCGCCATCGCG